GTATATTGTAATTAAAGACAATAATAACAGCTGCCATTTATGAAGTTCCAATTAATTATACATCAGATACTCTGCTGGGTTCTTTACTTATGTTAGTTATAATCCTGCAAAGCAGAAATCATCTACATTTACAAATTAGAAAACCAGGTTTTAGGGATGTTAATTGATATGCTCAAGGTCAATCAGCTAGAGATCAGAGCCAGCACTTGAACTTGATTAGGTTGCTCTGAAGGCCTGCATTCATTCCACCACGCTATGCTGCTTTCCTTCCTATCACTGGTCCTTTTAACAATTCAGAGGGTCAAACATGATCCCCACTTGGCAAGAGGCAATGGAGTACAATCAAAAGGGCAAAGCCTTTCTTCTCTGACATGAAGCCCTAAGAAGAATATAATCATGAGGAGACAAATGCAATTGAGGGATATTCTCCAAAACAACTGGCCTGGTCTCTTACAAAATGTCAATGTTACTAAAGAGGAAAAAAAGATGAAATACCATCCTAGATGGAAAAAAAATGACTAAAGAGATATGACAACTAAATGCAGTGAGTAACCTGGATTGGATGCTGAATCAAACAAACAACGCTATCAAGGATATTTTATAAACAATTGGTAAAGTAAAACAGATATTAAATAGTAATGTGTTAATGTTACACTTCCTTCCCACGTGACAATGTTATTGAGGTTTTGTGGAAGAATGTCCCTTTCTTTGGAGATGACTTAAAATATTTAGGAGTAAATCAATACAGTGTTTCCAAGTAATTCTCAAATGGATTAGCAAAATTATGATCAAGAGAGAGGGTGCAGATGTGGCAAAATGCTAACAATGAAAGGGTCTGTGAGATTGCATTATTCTTACAATTTTTCTGTAATTTGAAATTTTTCAAAATAAAAACTTGAAGGAAAAATTTTAGGAGCATGCATTTCCCCCTCAACCTCCCCCCCACCCCCCAACAAAAAAGACAAGAAAAGAAGGTCTTCAAGTTGAATACACCTGAGTCTACCCATACCAGCTGTGTGAACTCTGTGCCCCCTTTTCCTCAGCTGCAAAGTGGCAGTGTTGATGTCCAGCACAAGCGCTTCTGTGGGACAATGCAGGCACCATTGGAGTGACACCTGGAGCAGGGTGGCCAGCACCCTGTCCTTTGTGTTCACATTTGCTCTCCTCCCTCCTGCCTCATCCGTTTCACCTCAGGATCCATTAAAATGGCCTTGGAAGGAGATTTGCTCAGGATAAATAAGAACAACTATGTGCCCTGTAGAGTGCACAGCTGAAGCAATATACCCTGCAGGGACACTGGGATGCAGGCTGGCTGACCCTCTGAATGTCGAACCACAGGGACAAAAGTCAGAAAAGCGTCCACCCACGACTTGCTGGCTTGTGCCATGGACTGGAGCTCAGACACTAGCCAGAGCTTCTCAAAGTGGGGTCACTGGCCCATCTGAGCAGTATCCACTGTGGTCCGACTAGGACCCTAATGGGCTTCTCAGCAGGGTGTCGGGAGTGCGCATTCTAACACGGTCTTCTAGGCGACTCTGAGGCAAACTCAAGTTTGAGCACTCCTGACCCTCACCACAGCCGTTGTGGATGTGCTACCTTATAGCAAATGGTCCACTGAGGAAGAGGATTCCTGTGCTTGAAGCCTAATAATAACATAAAAAGGTTATAGCCACCACAAAGGCGTCCACAAATGGGAGCAAACGGAAATTCAAACCGAGTTGTCCATAGAGATAAAAGCAGGAGATTTAGGGAGAAAGCAATGTTTCTCTCTGAGCTTCACCAGCTCCAGACTCAAAGTGTATGAATGAAATCTGCCCCAGCCTTGGGGGTGAAGGGAGCCGCCATCTAGAGCCCCCAAATCCGCCATTATCTGCACATGAGCACTAAAGGCATCAGAGTGGGCTCTGAGCCCCTCCACTCACCATGACCCTGGGAAACTGCGTAACCCAAACAGTTCCCTCCTCTGACATGTGCAGCAAGTGGTAATTCTACAGCGCCTTGTACGCTCCCAGAGCTCCAGAAATTCCAATGACCGACTTGGAACTGCCAGTGTCCCTCCGAGCCATGCCCGCCGGCCTCTCTGGAGAAGGTCACTCTATTAGATGCCACCTGAGTGAAAGAAGCCAACAGCAGTCACCTGGCTTCCCTGTAGCCCACTGCGGGCTTGTTCGTTGGGCCTGGAAGGTGACTGGGCTCCTCTCTTGAGCCCAGGAGACCAGATCTTTGGCCACACAAGTTCACCTCTGATCCTGAGAATCCTCTATTCCAAACCAACTCCAGCAGGCATTTACCCACAGGGTCTGAGTTATTTTGGGAGACTCCACATCCTGTACTCAGCCCTAGGGAGGGGAAGAGAAAAACAGACAATTGGGCAGTCTCCACCCCCAATCCACCCCCAAACTCAGATTGGGGGCAGAGAGCCATTTGCAACTTTAACTCTTTCCTGGCTCTGGCTGAGACCAAGCCAATTCCACTTAGAAAAGCCTCAAATGGCAGCATGTCAACCATTGTAATTCAAGAAGGGGGGGACAAATAACTAAGTATATCAGGAGAAAATTATGCGTGGAAAGTGACTTTTAAAAATCGTCTCTAAATATTACAGCCAGAGTGAAAGGATGGAAATTGCATCATCAGAAGAGCATTTTTGTGTGTGTAGTTTACCCCAGGAGTGGTCTGGTCTAGCATCTGGCCTTGCACAGGAGAGGTGCTGGGTGCAAGGAAAAGAGAAAGGGAGGCAGCAAGGAAAGAGTCTGCAATGATTTTGCCAGGGTGACGAGGGCCTTTTTGCATGGGGAATGTGGTTCATTAGGCTTGAGGTGATAACTCATATTTAAGAACCATGATTTGTTAGATCTCTCCTGGATTCACTTCCACACACAGTCACTCAGGGCCTAGCATTTGGCGAGAACTGAGCGCATCCTGGGAGTGGACAGAAATGAATAATGCACAACCCCTACTGTCTGCCCTTCAGATGTCTTTCAAGGACAGGAGAGTCACACATGATGGGCGCCTGGCATCCCTGAAACCAATCAATCTGGGGACTGTGAACCCCCATAGAAGAAAACCTGATGGCACCAGTGGGCTTGTATTTAAATCCTCCTCAGCTGCAGAAAACCACTGCTCTGCCCTTGATGGACACTTGCTTCTTAACACAAAACAACACAACACAAAACAACACAAAACAGAACAAACACAGCCTGCTTTCTCTGCCTCTGACACCCACCTCCTCCAGTCTGCCAGGCCTGCCTTGGTCCTGGCTCCTCACAGAAGCAGTGGTCAGCCCTGGAGATATCACTGATTTCCACTGCCCTAGCCTCCTTGGGACCTGGCTGGCCTACTGTCCTCTAACCCTGTTTCCTTTCTGCCACACTTTCTATTTCCTCTTTGACCACATGCTTCAAGCCCCATCTGCTGGGCCCTCAGGCTACCTGATGCCTGACCTGAGATAACTTTATGTCCTCAGACACCTATGGTCCATTTTTGGCTCTGCTGCCCTAACCTGTTCTACTGCCAGTAAGCTCCAGGTGTCAATGGTGGCCTTCAAGACTGCCATCGGACTGATGTTTGGGACTGAAAAGCCACTGCACTCAGAGGGTTTGCAACCTCCATAATTTACACTACAACTGCCAGCGGACAGGCAGTTTGACCGTTGAGATGCATCAGCACAAAACAATTCAACTAATTGGCTTTCCTAGCCCCCATTTGTACATCAGACCCCAAAGGACGGAGCCCTATTCTCGTCAAAGGGACTTTCCAACTGGCTCTCAGACTGTAGCTACAGCAGAATCGCCTGGTGGGCTTGCTGAGCCACCCCTTCCACCCCCCACCTATGGTTCTGGAGAACTGAAAATCAAAAGGACAATTTGTATTTCTAAGAGGCCCTCGGGTGAAGTTGATGCTCTGGTCTAGGGACCTCACTTTTGAGAACCCCTGCTCCAGTCCAGTGGTTTTCAAACCTGGCCCACATTGGACTCACTGAGGGAGATTTAAAAACAAACAAAACCACAAATGCCTGAATCTACCCTCCTCCCTATTCTGATTCAATTCGTCTGAAATACAGTCTCGTCACTGGGCACTGTATAAACGCTGTAGGTAATTCTAATGTTCAGCAAGGGTTGTGGATGTCTGCTGTTGTCCATTTCATTAGCTGGGCTAGGGGTGGGGAGGCTTCTTTATCACCCCCGCCCCCAGGGACCCTTGAGACCCCCAGATAAAATATAGGACACCCAGTTAAATTTGAATTTCTATAAACAACTAATAATATTTTACTATACGTATGTCCCAAATAGTGCATGGATGTCCTTTAATGTTATTTTTTCCCTAAATATGGCATCCCTACCCTTAGACACTTCCATAACACAGAATGAGAAACAATGACCTGTCAGGTCCCATTTCATAAATATTAACACCAAGAGTCCCAGAAGACACAGAGGAAGTCTCAACCTCAGTCCAGAATTCTTTTCCTTCCATCACGCTTAACTGTGCTAAAGGTACTCATACCCTTTTCTTGTTAGGGGGTTATTGTCAGTTGCCTGGAGGTGACTTCAAAGGGGTAGATAGGAACTCTGTCTTTTCTACTCCCTTTTCAATTCTCACCTCCACCCACCTTTCTGTTGCAGATATCACAGAGGCTGTCCTGGGCTATGGCCATTCTCAGGGCCATATTCTTAAGGCCACCTCAGGGAGGATGTGGGCTGGAAGTGGTACTAGCCAGTGACAGCTGTGAGCTGAGAGCCCATAATTGGGTAACACAAGGACAAGTGGGATTTGGCACAGGCAAAGTACAGGCAAAGCATGTTGGGAGAGGCCCACTTAATTCGTAGAGACACTCGGAATTAGTTGTAAATTCTCTGGGAAGAGATCAAGGCAGCGGCATAAACAGCTCAATTAAACTGTCGGCTCAATGCTCAATGTGCGGTAATGGTCAAAACACAGCCTTTAATCTAGATACAGAGGATTATCTTTCAACCAGTAATGAGATTCCTAAGATTAGTTGTACCTGGGTGGAGGGAACAACAGCTGGCTCAGCGACACTGCAGACAGGCTTGCATGTCAGCATGACTGGGACTTGCGTGGAAGAGGCTGCCTGGGCGCCACAACCCTCCTGGAGCCCCATCTGGATGCTAGGAGGACAGGGAAGATTCTCGTTCTGCTTTCTCGGCTTAAGAGACACGGTCTTTGCCTTTTGCAACAGCATAGATGGACCTGGAAATTATAATGCAAAATGAAAAAAGCCTGTCAGAGAAAGACAACTACCATATGATCTCACTTACATGTTGAATCTAATGAACAAAATAAATTGACGAACAAAATAGAACCAGAGTCGTGGATGCATGGCACAGACTGACAGATGCCAGAGGGGAGGTGGGTGGGGTGGACTGGACAAAAGAAGGTAAAGAGAACTGCCATCCAAGAACATATATGCATAGCACATGGACACAGACAGCAGTGTGGTTAGGGCCTGAGGGACAGGAGGGCAAGGTAGGGTGAAGGGAGGCAAAGGGAGAGAAATGGGGAACATCTGTAATAATTTTAATAAAAAAAAAAATAGCCCAGCTGGTATTGTCAGATAGTTGAACATTGATCTAAACCAGGAGGTCATGGTTCCATTCCCGGTCAGGGCACATGCCAGGGTTGCGCAATAGGAGGCATGCAGGAGGCAGTAGATCAATGATTCTCATCATTGATGTTTCTCTCTCTCTCTGAAATCAATACATATATATAATAAAATAAATAAAATAAAAAGGGAGATAATCTGGGAATAGAATCCCAGAACACAGTCAGTCTGACATGTTCCCACCTCCAGACCAACGCTAATAACCACAAGCACCAGTTCTGAGGCAGAAATGTCAAGCTTTAGCCCTTTGCCATCTTATCCTTCATGATCAACCACTCACATTCACTCATTCACCAAATATTCATTGGGTGCTTACTAGGTGTCAGTAACTGTTCTGGATGCTGGAGATATGCAGTCAACAAAGAGGAAAGATCTCTTTCCCATCATGGGGCAAGACAACAAATAAACAAGAAAAATCAATAAAATATGCAGTGTGTGAAATGGGGATGAGTGATACTAATTGTTGAGTGGGGACAATTCTAGATATGTTGCCCAGGGGAGGCCTCACTGAGTAGTGATGTTTAAATAAAACCTGAAGGGAGTGAGGGTTGAGTCATGGAGACAGCTGGGCGCAAGCATGTCGGGCTAGGAGAGCTAGTGCAAAAGCCCCGAGGAAGAGGCAGCTTGCTTGGAGCAGGAGAAAAGACAGAAGATGAGGTCAGAAATGTAAGGGGACGAGAGATCAGGTAAGGCCTTATGAGCCCTGTGAGGATTTGGGCATGTACTATTAGGGAAATGGGGATTTAATGGGAAATTTGAGCAGAGAGCCATAAACATATTCTTTTAATAGGATCACTGACTGCTGAGACAGAAGCAGGGAAATGAGTAAGAGACACCTGCAATGACACAGGCAAGAGATGAAAGACAGTTGGAGGCAGCTGAGATATGTGGTAGGATTCTGCATATTCCTTGCTCATGGGTAGCATGGAGTAGGAATGAAAGAAGGTGTCAATGATGACGGATAGCTATGCTTCAGATCTTCATTGAGCACTAAGGACTTCCAAATCTATGCTTCTGACCCAGACTCCTTCCTGCCCTGGGGCCTGGCACACAGCAAGGAACTGACATTAACATTTGGTGGACTGAAATGAAAAAAAGTAGATGAGTCTGTTTGGTTGGTGGCACAATTTTTCCAGGCCTCTACCAATGTATAGTTTACCAGCAGATACTGGAGGGAGGTATAGAAAAAAAAGCTACCATGTCCCCATCTTGATCTAAAGTAAGAAGTTGAGAGAGGGCAGAAACTGAAACAAGGCCATACCCTACCCCTTCCAGTAAGAAAACCAGGAAGGGAATGGGAGGGATGGGAGGGGGACACACACACAAAAAATGCCAAGAATGATGGACACAGTGTTGGGTTTGTGATGTCAAGAGATTGGGTGCCAATCCCAGCTGTGCCTCTTAACTCAATCTCTTCCCTTCATGGCTCCCAGTTTTCCTTCTGAAAACAGAGAGGTGGGCTCTCTGAAAAGAGAGTCTGTCCAGCTGTAACCCTCCCTGTGCTGGGATCCTTTTCCTGCGAGGCCCTGTCTCCTCTAGTCACCTGACACACTACTTCTCCAACGCTGTCCTTAGGAAACTCTTCTGTTCCCTTTCAGAATGATGACTCTGACTCTGAGTCTCGTGAGATGTGTCTCTACTAGTTCCCAAAGAAAAACACCCATGTCTTTTTTGCCTGGTTAAAGTAAATACCACCTTAGGCCTGTTACCCATCTATAAACTGGGAATACACACCAGATTGCTGGGACGCTGAGTAGGGTTAATTACATACAGACTGTGTAGGGGTTAAGCAGATACACGAGTGTGCTAGAAGTTCTTGGCATAATACTATAGTATTACAATAATTTTGGCTTGCAAATTACACCCCAGCCAAGGTATCACATGGAAAAGTGGGTCTGATCCCATGGCCTGCTGAAAGTGAAATGAAAAAATAAGTTGTAAAATATAACGTTTCTTCCTAACCCTTTGAAAAAGGCAGAGACAACACTTCCATGTGCAACCCACATGCAGGGAACAAATTTCCAGATCCTACAGAGGGCTCTCTTGTCCAGGGTCACCTGGCCTGTTGCCAAGATCTGCTGATCTTCCTTCCTGAGCCTAGAAGCAGAAATGGGAGGGGAGGGAGGGAGCCAGAGAAGATTTGTGGTTGGTTGAAAGGTGGGACTTAAATGAGAATGTCCTCCAGTTTTTCTATTCGGGCCTCCCTTACTTGCAGGATAATTAAGTGCTTACAGAGCAGCAGAATGACTTAAAATGTAATTTGAGATATTTAAGTCTAGGAATACCCAAAATAAACATCTTAGCCCAGGTCAACTTCTGGGTCCTTCCACCGTCCCCTAGACCAGTGATGGCGAACCTTTTGAGCTCGGCGTGTCAGCATTTTGAACCACCCTAACTTAACTCTGGTGCCGTGTCACATATAGATACTTTTTGGTATTTGCAACCATAGCAAAACAAAGATTTATATTTTTGATATTTATTTTATATATTTAAATGCCATTTAACAAAGAAAAATCAACCAAAAAAATGAGTTCACGTGTCACCTGACACGCGTGTTATAGGTTCGCCATCACTGCCCTAGACACATCACACACACACACGACAATGAAGGGGTTGTATAGACGGCGATAGTGTCTGTAATTGTGTGGGTCTGAAACATTTTACTGGATCATAGAAGATGACAGTGCAATCTGACCAAAGAGGGCACGAGCAAATAACTTGATCCGGAAAGGGCAATTTGCAGTCTATGCCATGGCTTCATTGTGCGGCTGAGTGAACAGAGCACGGGATTCCGAGTAAGACCCAAGTCTGAGTCCCAGTTCTGCCACTTTGCAACTGTGGCCTCAGGAAAAGTAGAGGAACAGTGAACAGCTGTGGATCCCTTCCTGTCCAGCCTCAGAGTTTGACCTCCACCTCTCGTGTGGCCAGGGCTGTGTCCCGGCCAAAAAAGCCTCTGGTCTTGCTGCTAGGACAAAGGAAAAAAAGAGACCCTCCCGATGCCCATCTATAATATACAGGTAGCAAGTTGAGATTTTTAACAATTTGTGCTGTAAGATCTCTTAGAGAATTTCTCAGGTTTCAGTTCTCAGACCTTAAGGTAAGTCAAATTCTGGGGCTTGCCCAGCCAAATTCAAAGGAACACCAGCTCTAGGGGCAGTGACCTCATTTCCAGGCAGTTCTAGTCGCTACCTGGAGCATGTCGCTGCCCTGAAAAGCAAGCTGGGCCCCTCCCTCTGCCTCAGTTTCCTCGTTTTTAATTAATAATCAAAGGACGATCTTAAGTTGCAAAGTAGAGATTAGTGTAAATGACATCATTTCGGAGCCCCCAGAAGGGAGAACTGGCGTCCTGCGTACCTGGGTGACTTTCTCTGGGCCTCAGTTTCTCCATCTGCAAAACGAGGGCCCTGGATTACATGGAGTCTTGTCAGCTCTTACAATTTGGGCATTAAACATTCCCACAGCTTCCTCCGCCAGGTAGGCCATGAACAGGGTTAAAACCGCGACTACCTCAGAGGTGAAAAGGTAAGCAAACATTCCGACCTCTGCTTAGCCTGGCGCTGGGATTGGTGCAGGGCAGTGCCCCCGCCGCCTCCGCCGGCCGCAGCCGTCAGCCCGATTGCTAATACGCTCATTAGCATAGATTGCTCCGAAGATCCGGCACACCTGGCCAGAACCGGAGTCTCCGTCCCTGTAAGAAGCGGGTAGCCGCTCGGTCCCTAAGGGGTCTCTGCACCCCATTTCCTCCGGCGGGTCGCGCTGTAAACTAGGAATGTTCCCCGTTAATCCACCTTTGCACCCTACCCAACAGCGGGGACGCCCGGGGTACACAGCGCGCGGGTCCCCGGGGAGGCGGACGGGTTTGGTCTCCGAGCGTTGCAGGCTCTGGATGGCTACCTCTCGCCTCAGGCGGCGGCGGGCTGAAAACCTGGCGGGGCGGGCAGCGCCGCGGGACCCCGGCCCCCTCAGGCCTGAGCCCCGAGCTGGCGCCGAGGCGACCGCGGGAGGTGGCGAGTGCTGA